CAACATTACCTTTGATCTGTAAAAATCACATTATGGAGGACATGACTGGAAACCAGTTCAGGAGCAGCCAGGAGGTTCCAATGCAGGTGTTTATACTTACCCCCACTTAGTAGTTTAGGGAGAGATTTTATCAATGAGTTTAAGACCAATGAGAATAAAAATGGCATTTCAATGTCTCAATCTTTAATTAAAATTGGGGATGCTTTATTAATCAAGCAAAAACTAATCTCTAAATTTTCTAAAAAAATAATTTTCCCAACAAAAGAGCTGAGCTTATCTTCATGAAGTTTTCTAGTATGCAATCTGCAGAGTTCTGTAGCATTCAAATAGCTTCAAAATATTTGCAACTGCTTAAAAGCCTGTAATGTAGTTAATGTTGATGTATGTATTTGAGTGCCAAAACTTGCACTGATACTGTGCTGAAGCAACCTTAAAAGAGGTCTGGACTTGGGCAGCTCCTCTGTAATGTGGGAAAGAGACAAGATAACTCCGGCTCTAACACTCTGAATTACAAGCTTCCCTCCATTAGAATTTCCAAAAAACAGTAAAACATTTGATACAATTCTTAGTGAAAAATCTATTACAGTATCTGTCAGAATGACTGGTACATTGCAATGTATATGCTAGCTAATATGATGCTGTATAAATTTGTGAGCAATTATGTAAGTTTTGTAAATGCTGGGCTCAAATCAAGTTTGAAATGCATTTAGTTGTTAAATAGAAGTATAATAATACTGAGTTGAGGAGTGCTTTAACTGAAAATGATGCAAATTTACATTCTGAAGTAATGTTATGGACGTGTAAAAGTCTGTGGAGAGTTACACAAGGAAAGAGGGAGTTTTCCTAACAGAAACATCTTTTTTCCTGCGCTTGTGAATCAGGCTGTTCCAGAGCTAACAGGGGCTGTAACCTTCTGCAGTCTAATGGTGGCTGCCAAATGGCAAATGAAGCACATAACACACGTTCTATTGCCTAGAATTTTTCAAAAGGTTCTTTTCAACAGTATCAAGATCAGAAATCCTATGATATTCTTGTCTTAGAGCTCAAAGGGTACCAAACTGGACAAATTTCTGCAGCTCTAGCAATCCAGAGGCCCAATCAAGCAGTTAGTGAGCAGGCAGAATTTGGAGACAGAATAGTATTTTGATGCAAGACCTTTTTTTACACAGAAAATCTACAATTATGGCATTAAATAACAAGCTGAAGATAATGTCTGATTGCATATCCATTCAATTCTGTCCCTTTCATGATAGTCATATTATTCTGACCTGAACAGAGTCCACAGGGGTACATGTATTTTCTAGACAAAAAACCACACAGCTTTAGGTAACACAAATACACACAACTTAACACATACTTTTTTGCTTTAGCAATAAATCATGTAAATTAAGACACATAAAAAAGATGCAGACCAAAAGTTAGAGGGTCATACACAAATTAAATGTAGTCACGTCAGCAACTAAGACCTTGGGCCATCTCCAGTTCTCCCTGTTTTTATAAATTAAGTTTTATTGGAACACAGCTATATGCATTCATTTTCATGTTACCTACAGCTGCTTTCATACTTCAACAGCAGAACTGAGTAATTAGCGGAACTGTATGGCTCACATAGTCTAAAATATTTATTATCTGGCCCTTTATAAAAAAAGCTTGCTGACTGTATATAGATCAAAAAGAACATCTCCCTCATAATATAAATGAGCTAAAGTAACAGAAAACCATCTTCATCCATGTTCTCAAACCAAAATAAGTAGATTAAAATATCTCCATATCATATGTGGTTACTTAAATATTTTGCATAACATAATCTGTGTGGTTCAAAACCAGTTACTGTGTTTGTGAACTGACAGTCCTGTAAGTCTGTGTATGTTGTACTTATGTATATTATCTATATAAAGAGTGGTCAAGACAGGAGCTAGCCAATTTGAGTGAAGGAAACCTAAAGAAATTACCAGGAACTAAGAAATACTGTGTTTCACTGTGTTTTTCTTTATATTTAAGAAATATGGGTACTACCATTAGTAGGAAGCATACCAAAGCAAAGAAATTTATAATTGCAGATTTTACTCATGAATTGACAAGAGCTTTTAGAGTATAAAATAACCAGCCTTTCTATAAAATATTGATTTTAATTATACATAGTGATATACCAAAATAAGAGTGTTTTTATTTCTAAAGTAAATATTTTAGTCAAAGTTGCATCTGAATCAAATATTTCTTTCATCTTTTCCAAGAGGTTTTAGTTATTAACTACAATTATAGTTGTTAGTATTATATAGTAACACTTTGTTTAAAATATATTATAAACTTTTTCCTCATTAATTTAAATGAAATATAAAATTAAGGATTTTGTAATATGATTCACATTGGAAAACATTTATAATGGTATGAATTACTCTCATACAGAAAATGTCATTGGAATTACATGAAATATTCTGATGCTTGAAGGTGTCAGACACAATGCTTGGCACTGACTTGGTACTCCACAAAGGTGTGTTCATTCATTCTCTCACTTACTCATGCATTCATTTAAAGAAATTCAAGCTTAAGGAAAAACTACATTATAGTATAAGAATGGCAAGCACAATCTTGTACCAACAAATTTGGAGTTGTGACAAAGACTTTGGCAAGGTAGAATGGAGAATGTGAGAGGCTGATGATCAAAATTTCAAACTGCTTGGTTAACATCTACCAAATAAAGCCCTAGATGATAGAAAAGCAAGGTTAATATTCCATAAAAAATGCATTCTTTCAATATCAGGTCTTACTTCTGCATATAAACAGCTGCTCAAACACAGGAATACGTTGGTGTTAGGGAGACATTAAGATGTACAAGCTACCAAAAGGTAAGAACCCCCTGGCTGGGGACTTACTTCTCTGCACTGCAGCTTCTTTTTGGTGACGGGCCTATTCACTTGGTTTTAACAACTTTACACTGGTTGAATTTCATTCTGGCTGAACTAAGCAAAAATGGTTTGAATCAAAAAATGTAACTCTAAAATAAAGACAAATAAATGTACAAGGTAGTAGGGTGTGCAACATTCTTATTTTTCTTTTATGTATCAATTGATTAAACTATTCTGCCTAACTGTGCCACAGACACAGGTGAGGTGTCAGCTCTTTGAGGAGGCACCAAGAAAAGAGTATTTCTGGGCTTTTTCACAAAGGGTCTTATAAATAAATTCAAGGAATACTGAACCTGAGTAATAAGGTCTAAAAATGGAAAGGGCTGTGAAGGACAGAAAAAAGATACTTTTGAAACTACACAAAATACGGGGTGAGGACTGATCTTGGAGGAAGTTATTTTAACAATCTGTAACAAAAATAAAACATGATAATGGCAAGTTATTTGTATCTGACTTTCATTGCCTTTGGTATTCAGAGAAGAAAAAGCATTGTTACAAGCTCTAGTCTTACTGTCACACAGAAGAGAGAAGACCCTTCCACAGTCCCTCTCAAATCTGTCTTTGCACCAGAACCGGGCCCGCTTTTACCCTTCCCTGCCCTTTTGTAAGGCCCAGTCATGCAGTAGTACAGAGCACCCTGGGGTCGGGGTTCTGTCTCCTCTGTCGAGGAAAACCTGAGGAGCCAAGATGGTGCCTTCACTCTGGCTTCCTCTAAACAAGGTGAGAAAGAACTTGTTGCCATCTGCACAGGTGTTCTGGGTTATCTGCCAACTCAAGTTTTTCACTTATCTTTTTTCAGTGATTCATAAGTGGACTCGTGTGCCATTCTTAGAAGGAAGGCTAAATTATTCTCAGAACCAAATACGTTCCCCTTTCTCTTCTACAGTGACAGTCATCTACCATTCTCAAAATTTAAAATTTTCAAGTAGCAAAAGACCTTACAATTTCAAAATAGGTGCTAAAACCCTCTTAATATAACGGGCTTAACATCCTTATTTTCTGTGTCTACTGAATAATTTTGGAATGGCTATCATTTATGGATCACTGGGTGAATTGTGAGGATTGTATGATGATTGGTAGTGTAAGATGATCACCCTTAGAAAAAGTTTAATTTATTAAGCTCTTTCCCAATTTAAATCTACTCCATGCTAGTAGATTAAAAAGAAAAACTCCCATATAAACAAATAAGCCTGCAGAATTCCAAAGTGAGCTTCTTGTACAAATTTGTTTTGTGAATATTCAAATTTAGAGTAAATTTTAAACTATACTGTTTCCACCTCTTATTAACGTCAATGGAAGAGGTCTGTATTAAATGAAAAGAGGAAAAAGTATTTTTCACTGTCACAGAAATTCAAGGAACAGAAAATTTATAAGCATTAGTATTTACATGGTAGTTCTTGATAAAATTTAAGTTTTTTTCTGCCAAAATGATAAATAGTACTATCTTTAAAAAGAAGTATCTAGGGCTGGGGATTTAGCTCAGTGGTTTTGCTCCCTGCTGCGCAAGCACAAGGACCCGAGTTCCATCCCTGGTACCAAAAAAATTATAATTTCTTTTCTTTTTTTTGGTACTGGGGATTGAACTCGGGTCCTTGTGCTTGCGCAGCAGGCAATGATCATTATAATTTCTTTGAATAGATTTTTTACGCCATTGGTCTGAACCTTGGCACCCTCTTCTACACCAAAAATTGTAGCTTTATTCTTTTAACCATGTCCAGGAGTTCTTGGTTGTTTTGTTTATACTTTCTTGGTTTTTTTTCTTTATTAGTATCTGAGTACAGTAAGTCCTCAACTTACAAACATTCAAGTTGTGAACTTTCACCAAGCATTGCCATATGCCCCAGAGAGAGTGCTTGACCAGACTATTCTTTTTTTTTTTATTTTATTAAATTCTGTTATTGGTACATTGTAGGTATACAACACAATTACATTTCTCATTGGGAATTGTACCTTTACATAATGAATCTTG